CCCCCCCCCCCCCGCCCTTTCCTGGCTTTCCTCAGCCCCTTGCCATGGCTCCCTGACAAGCACTTATGCCCCAGAATGTAGTACTCACCGTGAGGGAAAGATCTGGGGTACGCACACGGAAGGTGTGCTGCTTGGCCAGTACTTGCCCACTCTCCTTAACGTGGCCTGAGACATTGAGCAGCATGGCCCCCTGATCCACAAGATGGGGCCGGTATTCCTTGTAGGCCACGGGCATGGTCACACTGTCCGCTGGGGAGAAGAGTCCTGGTGTCACAGAGGCCTGATTTCCCAGATGTGGATCCCCTCAGCTCCACAGACCTAGGAGGTCTAGGGCCTCATTTCTGCAGCCCCATAGTACTAAGCCAGCTTTGGGCAGGGTTGGGGGAGGGACACTTACAAGATCCTGGAGCCAGTGTCACTTCCTTCTTGGTCTCCTTGAAGATGGAGCCAGTGACACCAGTGTAAAAGGTGACAGAGAGGTAGAGGTGCAGCTTCACAGTGCGGCGACTGCTGCCACGATTGGTGAGCACAATGGAGACGGTCAGGTCCTGCCCCATCACGGCGTCCTGTGCCTCCACCTGCATTGACACATCTTCAGCAGTGTCCCGGGTTTCATATACATTGGGTTTGCTGCCATGGGCAGCAGCTGTCTCCACTGCCTTCCGCTCTGCTGCTGAGCCTAGGGGTTGAGGGTCAAAGGTGAGCTTCCAGCCACAGCTGGGGTGGGTGAACAAGTGCTCAGCAGGCACCAGTGGCCTGGAGCTGCGTGGAGTGGTGGGGTCGGTACCTTCTGGATGTTTATAGATGTGCGTGATGTCCTCCCTCATGTTGGAGCTGATGGCCTTTGTAACAATGAGTGTGCCAATTGCTTTTTCTTCCACATACACAATCTTGAAGCTGCCATCATCCTGTCGCTGCCAATATACCTTGTCACTATTCACCTGTTGGAATAAGCAGGATGAGTGCCATCAGATGATGTGAGGATTCAGGCTCCAGGGGTTCACACCTGTAGTCCTAGCTACTCAGGAGGCTGAGATCTGAGGATCATGGTCCAAAGCCAGCTGCAGCAGGAAAGTCTGTGAGATCCTTATTTCAAATTAACCAGAAAACAAAAAAAGCCAGACGTAGAGCTGTGGCTCAAGTGGTAGAGCACTAGCCTTGAGTAAAAAAAAAAAAGCTAAGGGACAGTGCTTGGACCCTGAGTTCAATACCCAGTACCAGCACAGGGGAAAAAATTGTGTGAGGTAAGCCTGAGGAGAGCTAGGACCAGAGGTTGAGAGCTAGTAGGCAAGATACAACGGGAATACTTTGTAGGCCAAGCCATACAAGGCCAGAAAGCAGGGAAGAAGCAGGGAGGCCCTGGCTGTGCATCGCACTAATAACAGTAATCCATCATGCTCATGGCTGGCTTTACAACTTAGGAAGCAGTTTCATACCCATTATCTCTTTTGATCCTAAGTACAGGAAGCAAGGCAGCCATCATTATCCCTTTTTACAGTTGAGGAAACTGAGACGAAATTGAGTGACTTTCCCAAGGTCACTCAGCTAGTCAGTGGTGAAATGAAGACCAGTAGATCCAGCCCTGTACCCAGCGTTCTGGTTACTACACAGTGCAGCAAAAGCACTGGGAGCTCAGCCCTCACCTCGGCAAAAATGAAGGGCGTGTCATACTTCATGTAAACCAAGCCATTCTTGACAGACTGCACGGAGCAGGGCCCACAGCAGAAGATGCCTAGGGAGGGAGCAGGATAGGGATGAGGGATCCAACGAAGCTGAAAGAGGGACCCTCAGATCTTCAGCAGAAGCCACATTGGGGTACCAGCCCCACCTACCAAGGCCTGGTACCCACTGGCTACAGGCAGCTTCTGAACAAGGCCACCAGCCCTCACCCAAACACTGAGGGCCAGCTGATACCCACTGCAATCAAGAGAAGTCAAACAAAAAAGAGCCAGTCAGCTTTCCTCAGGCCAAACTGTCCTGCCCAAAGATGGGGTGGAGGACAAGCCTGGCACATTCTCTGGGATGGCTGAAGCTGGATGTCCCCCTCCTAGGATATGGCACACCCCTCTTCTTCATTATTCTAGAAGCTGGGTGCCAGTGATTCACACCTATAATCCTAACTTCTCAGAAAGCTGAGATCTGAGAATTGAAGCTCAAAGCCAGCACAGGCAGGCAAATCTGAGATACTCATTTCTTATTAACCAGAAAAAAGCCAGAAATAGAGTGCCAGCTTTGAGTGAAAAAGCTAAGCAAGAGTGAGAGGCTATTCTGAGTTCAAACGTCAGTACTGGGGTATCACACACACAAATAAAAAACCATTCTATAGCTTACAGTGGCTCTGCCCGTTGCCTAAGAGAGTGACAACCACCACCATAATTCCAGAAAGATCTAGAATTACACCTCAGCTATGTTGGTCATTCCGTCCTCTTTACTGGGGTTGGGGACTAGGGAGACAGAAAAGACTGTCTAATTATACTTAGGAGGGCTTCCTAGGGAAGGTGGGCTAGCAGGAAGAGGCCGAGTTTGAAGGACAGGGCAAACTGGAAGTGACGTGTCATGGACAGAAAAGTATTTTAACAACACCTAACACCATGGCCTCCTTTTACAAATGAGGAAACAGGCTCCGCCAGTGAAGACATCAGGAAGACAGCTGGAAGGAACTCAGACTTACTGAGTGGTACTATGTTTCAGGCATGTTACTAGCCCCTCTGATGCATGATGTCCCATGTAAGAACACCAAAGCCCAAAGGTACAGGATACTTACTGGCCCAAGGTTATTCATCTGAGCACTGTTCTGGCTACTGAAAGCCGCTGCCTGTAACCTACTCTACTTCTCGGTGCTGGGGTAGAGCTCAGGTCAGTCAGTGCCTGGGCCAGGTAGGTCTAGCATCAGGGGCATCACTGGGTTGCATAACTCAGGGACATTATTTGTTTTTTTTTTGGTCCGGTAGTGGGCCTGAACTCTGGGCCTGGGCACTGTCCCTCAGCTCTTCAGCTCAAGGCTAGCGCTCCACCACCTGAGCCACAGCGCCACTTCCGGCTTTTTTCTTTTTGCTTATGTGGTGCTGGGGAATCGAACCCAGGGCCTCAAGCATGCAAGGCAAACGCTCTACCACTGAGCCACTTTCCCAGCCCTCAGGGACATTATTTGTGATAGACAGGGAAGGGTCTACCACAGTGTGCTGGGTGTGTGTGTGTGTGTGTGTGTGTATACAAATAAGTGACTGCCAGGTTCTGTCATACATTGTAGGACTCAGTTGTAAGAGCTACTTTCTTCTCTAAGGTTGATTTCATCCTAGGCTCTGACTTTTATCCAGTACATGTACTCAGAGTAAATGATGGAACTAACAGGAGAGGAACTTGGGGAAAGTGAGAGTGTATGTCAACAGGGGAGAGAACCAGGGACTAGATTCTTCTGCTGACTTAGTGCTCTGAGCCCCAGACAGCATCAGTCTACCTCCTCCAATGTGTCCCACGGGGTGTGTAGTGGACACCAAATGAGGGGAACCTTCAAAAATACAGATTTCAGGGAGTTGTGGAAGAAAGGTGACTAAGGGGCTGCATGTGAGCTAAGCACATTATATGCCTGAATGAGATAGCACAATGAAACCCCTTACTTCCATTGTAAGGTTTTTACTAGCATACATTAATTGTATACAAGGAGGGCTTCATTGTGACATTACCATTGCTGCAGCAACCTCACTTTCTCTTATCTCTCCCTACTCAATTCTTAAAATAATTGCAACTGGTGTCATTATTCTATTTCACATATGGATAAAAGTGCTTTGATCATGTTCACCTCATTCATCCTCTCCATTCACCTTTACCCCTCCCTCTGATACATATCTTCCGACTAGAGCCTTTTACTCTCCTGTCATTCTTCATATGTATGTATGTATGCATGCATGTGTGTTTTAATTGTACCAAAGGGAAACCTTTTATTTTTACAATTAATATATGCTAATAAAAAAAGAAGAATCAGGGGCTGGGAGGGTGGCTCAGTGGTAGAGTGCTTGCCTGGTATACATGAGGCCCTGGGTTCGATTCCTCAGCACCACATAAGCAGAAAAAGCCAGAAGTGGGTTCTGTGGCTCAAGTGGTAGAGTGCTAGCCTTGAGCTGAAGAGCTGAGGGACAGCACACAGGCCCAGAATTCAGGCCCCATGACTGACAAAAAAAAAAAAAATCAGTTAAAAGAACAACCTTTTGGGCTTGGTGAGCCAGGAAGAGACTTACTTGCTCAGAGCAGAGGTGGGTTGTAGTGATGCGGTAATGCAGTTGCCAGGAATACTCATTTTGGAGGATAAGAAATAGAAAAAGCGGAGCCTTTAGTGTTTATCACAAATCTGCAAAGCTGGGTGCCAGTAGCCCAGGCAGGAAAGTCCAATCTCCGATTAATCACCAAAAAAGCCAGAAGTGGAGCTATGGCTCAAGTGGTAGAGTACCAGCCTTGAGCAAAAAGGCTCAGGGACAGTGCCCAGGCCCTGAATTCAAGCCCCCCAGCACTGTCACCAAAAACAAACAAATAAATAAATGAAAAAGAAAACAGAAACCTCTCTCCAATCCATGTCTCCCTGTTTTATGTTTATAATCGTATAATCCTAGCTCTCAGGAGGCTGAGATCTAGAGAATCTCACTTCAGGCAAAAAACTGCAAGACTCCATTTGCAATTAACCAGCAAAAAAAAGTTAAGCTGAAGGAGTGGCTTGAACGGTAGAGGCCTGTGTGAAAGTCTCTGATTTCAAACCTAGTACCAGCAAAACAAACAAAAACCTATCTCCTAAGAGAAAACAGGGAACTCATACATTTTTTTTCTTGGGGTCCGGTCGTGGGGCCTGAACTCTGGGCCTGGGCGCTGTCCCTCAGCTCTTCAGCTCAAGGCTAGTGCTCTACCACTTGAGCCACAGTGCCACTTCCAGCTTTTTTCTTTTTGCTTATGTGCTGAGGAATGAACCCAGGACCTCATGTATGCAAAGCAAGTGCTCTACCACTGAGCCACCTTCCCAGCCCATACTCATACATTTTACGTTCAATTCTATACTGTTTTTTCATTCTATTAGTGTATTATAATTATGAATTTTTTTCTTGCAGTGCTGGGGATTGAACGCATTGTCTCAAGGGTTTTTTGGTTGAGTTACATCCCTAATCCTAATTATGACTTTATATATATATTTTTTTCTTTTTTTTTTGTCCTGGCACCAATGGCTCTTGTCTGTAATCCTAGCTACTCAGAAAGTAGAGCTCTGAGGCTCGAGATTCAAAGCTAGCCTGGGCAGGAAAGTCTGTGAGATGCTTATCTCCAATTAATCACAGAAAAAGAAGTGGTTCTGTGGCTCAAATGGTAGAGCCAGGCCCAGAGTTCAAGCCCCAGAACTGGCACAAAAAAAATATATATCTATACATATGTATTTGTATGTACACACACATGTATGCACAGGATATATATATATATATATATATATATATATATATATATATATAAAAGTAGGAATAATGGATTTTTCAGGGAAGGGAAGCTTCTCATTGATTGACTACTTTTTTCTCCCCAACCAGTACTATGGCTTGAACCCAGTACTTAGGCACTGCTTTTTCCATTCAAGACTGGTATTCTCCAACTTGAGCCATACCTCCACTTCCAGCTTTTTTTGTGCCAACTCTGGGGCTTCAACTCAGGGCCCGGGCTCTGTCCCTGAGTTTTTTTTTCTACCACTTGAGCCACAGGTACACTTTGGGCTTTTGCATAGTTAATTGGAGATAAGAGTTTCATGAACTTTCCTGCCCAGGCTGGCTTTAAATCTCAATCCCAGACCTCAGCCTCCTGAGTAGCTAGGATTACAAGTGTGAGCTATAAGCACTAGCCTCACTGTCTACTCTTGAATCCTGACATTTGAACCATTGGAATATATAGTAACCATTATAAATAAAATTAAGGTAAATAGTTATATAAAGAGGTGAATTAACCTAAGAGCCCCATAGTGGTTTAGTTAATAAACCCATCAAAGAGTTAGCTCTCAGGCTCTCAGGGGCTGACATACTAGGAAGGGGTCCTGGGTAGGGTCCATGAGCCGAGTAAAGCCTGCCTTACCACTGCTAGTCTCCTGAGGCGTGGCATCCACAACCTGCCACCCATCAAAGCCTGAGGGCAGATCTGGCCTCTTCATCCAACAGTCATTCCACACGTGGAAGTTCCTGGGTGGGCATGGAGGGATGGCTGGGACTGAGACGCCTGTGTGGGGCCTCCCCTGTCTCCAACCCTGCCCTCCCTTTGGTGTCCAAGCATCAGGCAGGGGCAGTCCAACCCAAGCCCCAACCTTACCAAACAGAATCATGGTTCAGATGCTCAAGTGGCTTCATGTTCTCATCAAAGTAGATGTCCATCGTGAGGGATGTGTCTGTGTCGTGGGCGGAGTTGAAGTTGGTGACAGTACGGGTGGCTAGACCCAAGCATCGCAACACTGTGTGTGGAGGAGCCAGAGTTGAGGTTCAGGACACACAGGTGGAAGGCAGATGAGGTATCAGGTGAGGGGCAGCAGGTAGGAAAAAGCAACTGAAGTTGCCAAGCTGGGCAGGGACCACCAAAGGGCCTAGGACATCTTTGAGCCACAGACCACTTGGAGTTAGGGAAAGCCAGGCCACCTGCCTGCTTCAGGTCCTGCCTGTGCTTTTTCCTCCTCTCCCTTAGGCCTCTGTTGTTAACACGAATTAATGGTAATTAAGGCCAGTCTATCATCCACCCTTGTTGGCACCCCAAACTGTAGCCACAGCTGGGCTGGGCTGAGTAAAGACAGAGACTGGCTTTCCTCCCTCCTCCCTGTAAGATGCACACCATTCCTGTCCAGGTCCCTCCACTACCTGTGGTGGTCACACCAGCAAACACCCAGCACTGGCCATAGGGGACGGAATAGCCGGTGCGTAGGTAGCTAAGCAGAATCTCCACGCTGCCCACCCATGCTGAGGGGTTGGTGCCTTGAGAGTAATCGCCAGACCAATTCCCAATCAAGACTCCATTGTCGTCCAGGGAGTTCACCTGCCCAAGACAAGATGGGGTGGGGCTGAGCTGAGGGGAAAGCGGAAAACCCCCGACCTTTTAACACCATTCATCTTCAATGCCTAAGGATCCAGACCTCAGACTGGAGCCACACCCACTGTTACCCCAGTCACTAGCACCTGCCTCCCCTCCCGCCCTGGGTTTAACACTGGAATGTGAATCCTGGGTGTGCCAAGTTTGGGGCTTGGTCCTCATTCCACAGGTACTGGACAGGAGCCAGGAAGGGCGGGTGTATAGGTAAGCAGGGGAAAGAATAGGAGGAGTGGGACTCTTTACCTCAATAACCCTTTGCAGGTACAGAGCTGGGATATTGAAGGAATCTGAAAGGGCAGGACTTGGGGCAGAGCACAGGGGAGGTAGGAGGAAGGCACAGAAGTACTCACCATGGCAGAGATGACCCGGGACACACTGACGGGGTCCCCACGGCCTCCGTATGGCATTCCCCGCCGGTCCAGGATGTACAGGCAGGCATCTAGTACCCCATGGTCAAACTGGAAGAAAGGGGGGCAGAGGTGACCACAGCCCACTCCGGCAGAGCTCAGATCTTGTCTAGCATCTTGATCATTACCCCCTACTATCCCCCCCGAGCTATCTCCTGAGTGACCCCATCTAGCCTTACCTGACCATAGTTCCAGGTGCGCTCACCAATCTGTGCTTCTGTTCCATAGTAAATTCTTCCAGATTCATTTAGCACATACTCCTGCCGCCAGTCTTCATGGTCCACGTACACAATATCATCTATGTTCCCAAAAAAGACATTACTGCTTCCCTGAGTTAAGGCTTATATAAAATGTATGTCCACAGAAGAAAATGAGGGGACTGCTCTCAAGGACTGGGGGGAGCACGACAGAGGTTATTAGAAAACGCAGTCATGCTCGGCATCATCTGTTTGGGAAACTGAGTCACGAGGGTATTAGAATAAAGAAAGAGCAGAAAATGAACTCAAAAGACCAGATCAACTTTAATGGAGAGTTGAAGAGGGATGCCATGGTGACCTGAGGAGACTCAGGAGATATGTGGCATGGCATGCTGGAGGGTGGGGGCGGGAAAAGGTGGGGGGACTTAAGTAGGGTCCTGGGTGAAGAGGGTAGAAGGTACAAAAAGTTTCGGGACAGGCTTTGCAAGTTTACGCAGGCCTGGTTCTGGAGCCTGTTGTGCAAACCCACTGAGCAGGTCCCAGTTCAGCCAGGGAGGGCCTTTTTAGGGGAATTTAGAGGCCTGTTACCTGGGGGGGGGGCTAGAAGGGGTGGGAGAGTGTACTTTCACATTTTGGGGATTGCAGATTCCCATCAGTAGTGGTGGGAGATGGTTGACCAGAGCCAGGGCCCTTTGTCAAGAGAGGTGACTTGGGTTACCTTCCAACCCCAGGCCTAAGTCCCTCCCCTGGAAAATGGGAGAGCAGTTTCTCCTTTGACCACACACTTAACCATATCCTAGGGAAAGAAGCCCTGACTTGCCCTTGCCCTCTTGCCCTCTTTCTGCTCCTGACCCCAGATGACTTACCTGGACACCAGGGGTTGAAAAGGATGTAGATCTCATTTTGGGGGTCAAAGGGTAACTGGAACTCCCCTGCCTCTGAACGTGTGCGAACAGTGAACTGAAACTTGCCGATGATGGCACTTGGGGAAGTGTGGACCCTCAGTTCCAGGCTGTGCCCACTGGCCTTGATCACCTGGGCCTTCCAGCCACCGCTGCCCCCCTTGCCCACAGGGATGATCACATGGGTGCCCTTGCCCACTTCAGGGTTGTTTCCTAGAGTAGAGAAACAAGCAATTAGATGGTGAAAACCTCAGACGGGAGAAGGGATGGAGCCCTAGACTTATAGCCCCACCCGTCCCCGCATTGGGTCATCACCTTAGTCTGTGACATTCTCCCTTAGAGAAGCTCTGTGTCCGCCCCATGCTTGCCCGCATGTCAGGGCAGAGCCCTAGTCCAACATCCCAAACCTGTTCCCCTGACAATGAACTCACAGATAGGGAGGGGAGACCCAGTTCATTGCTATCTTGTGTTGCCTGACCATCCAGAGAGCCACCCTTTCTGTCTGCTAAGAAAGGGCCAACTAGATACCAAAGGCCTGCTCTGCTCTGTTGGGCCCACAGCTTCCAGAGCCCAGGGCATCTCTGCTGGAGGTAGTGATGGGTACCTGGGAAATTAGAGGCTAGGGTGGGCAAAGATGGGCTCTAATCAAAGGGTACAAGGAGTCGCTTGCCCCGGGCCACTATATAATCACCAGCCTGGGCAGTCAACGGTCATCAAGCAATGCAATGAAGGAGGTACCTGCCTTGGGCCATGGGACAGAGATTCAGAGGGAAAAAGTCAGAGTTAGAGATCAAGAGATTGAGAGACACACAGAGAGGATCAATGAATCAGCCACACTCTGGAGAAAGTACAGCTCCAGAAAGAAGAATATAGGGATACTGAAGGTGACAAAGCCAGCCCTGAAGAGGAAGTACTGAGACTGATTACTCTGGAAGCTTGAAGGTGGCAAGCTTAAGAAAACTCAACATGGGAGAGTCTCCCAGAGATGTACTCGTAGGACATTTGTCTTGGGCTGGGAGGGTGACTCTGAGGGAGAGCACTTGCAAAAGCTTTAAAAAAAAATGTAGCCAAGCCAGGTGCCAGTGCCTCATGCCTGTAATCCTAGCTACTCAGGAGGCTGAGATCTGAGGATCATGGTTCAAAGCCAGCCCTGGCAAGAAAGTCTGTGACACTCTTATCTTGAATTAACCACCAGAAAACTGGAAGTGCCACTGTGGCTCAAAGTGGTAGAGCACAAGCCTTGAGCTGAAGAGCTGAGGGACAGCGCCCAGGCCCAGAGTTCAAGCCCCATGACCACCACCAACAAAATGTAGCCAGGCACTGGTATCTCACACTTGTACTCATAGCTACTCAGAGGACTGAGATCTAAGGATTTTAATTTGAAGCCAGCCCAGGCAGGAAAGTCCATGAGACTCATTTTCCATTAACCAACAAAAAGATGGAAGTGGAGGTATGTCTCAAGTGGTAGAGGCCTAGCCTTCAGTGAAAAAGCTAAGGGACAGGGCCTAGGTCCTGAGTTCAAGCCCTACTACCCATATACACACATACACATGCACACACACACACACACACACACACACACACACAGTGGAGGACATTCATCTGGCAGAAGAGAGTTTCAGGGAGAAGCCTAAAGATCCCTCTGACACTAATGCCAATCTCCAGCCCCACTCACCGATGAGCAGCTCCAGGGCAATGCGATCAGAGGACTCATACTCCCGGTTCAGGAAGAGGATCGCATGGAAGGGCTGCCCACGGCGCACTATCAGCTCATCATACTCAAACTCATCTGTGTGATGCTCTCGTCGGTTCTGGTCTGAGCGAGAACTCAGCAAGTCCACACCAGTCACCACTAGCATGCCCTCTGCAAGGTTACATCTCTGTGTCAGTAAAGTCCCCACAAGGAGTCCCCTCCCTCATTAGCTTCTTGGTCCCTTAGAAATGCCTGGACAAGCCTCAGGTTCCCATTAAGGCCTCTCAGCTCTCAGTGAAGATGGACAGTTGCCCTCACCTCGAATGGTGCCATCACCAGCTGCATTTACACCTGTGCCCCGGGAAGGAGGTCTTCGGTCTCTAGAGCCAGAGGCTCGATTTCTGGAGGGTTCAGGGCCCCAGTCATCATCATCATCTCTGTTTCGGCATGAACAGCAACCACAGCACCTTGCCCAGAAGGACCTCCTTTCTCTCCCTCTTCCTCTTCGATTGCGTCTGTCTGACTCTGGCTCTGGCTGTGGCTCTGGTGTGGTAGAGGGTTGCCAAGGGTTCCCACCCCAGCGGCCCACATCTGAGCGAGGACCCTCCATCGCACCTAGGAGGAATAATCAGAGGTACCTCTAATGACCCACTCAGATCTCCTGTACCCAAGACGCCCAGCCAATCCATCCAGAACCTTCCTTCCAGAGAGATCATCCCAGGCAGATGACCTAGATTCCCCTAGACCCATCAGAGACCCTCCCCCCACAAGCTTCATTCAGATTTACCCAAAGAAAGTGTCCCCCAGTGCAGAGAAAAGCCTTCCCTCAACTACTGAGACACCCACCAAATCACATCCAAGAATCAGATCTAGTGGAGAAATCCACTGCAAGCAGGTCCCTTCTGAGAAAATGAACTGTATTGTCCCTTTGGCATACACCCTCCACCTGCCAGTGCCTCAGTCCAGGACACTGGCCACCTCTAGAACCTGTTTCTTAGCAGCGATCTTTCCATTCAAGGCTCCTCCACCAAGAGGGAGGTGTTGGAGATGGGGTCCGAGGAATTTATCATGTTGAGGCAAATCCCGAGTGTGGCTGCCAGGAGGGCTGGGTCACTCAGCAAATGCCAGGAGAGACATCTAGGCACAGCAGACAGGTTCCCACTGACCAGTACTCTTCCTTTCTGGGCTTGACCTCAGGCTGCCTGGTCCTCAAGATTTTGCCAACTGCCTAGATGAGGCTCAGCACCACACTGACTGTGTCAGCCCTCACCTGGCAGCAGTGGTGATGGCAGCGCTGAGTCCCGGGGCTCAGGAGGCACAGGTCAGGACGGATGGGACAGGACAGACAGGCTGGACGCCACCGCACGACTGGAAGGTATGGGGCGGGCCTGGTAAGTGGTTTATGAGGGGAGGGAGGGCGGGGCGAGCTACTGGAAAGAAGGGGAAGCTGTTGCTCCATCCTCCCCCTGTGGAGGAAGAGGCCAGCCTCTGGGGGATGTCTCCAGAGATAGGGGTGAGAAATGGACTGGTCCCACCCCCTTTTCCCTTTCTAGGAAAGGAAATGATGCTCACAAGGGGGCGGGGTCCAGAGCTGTCATAGTTGAAGCTGGGGTGAAAAAAATTGGAAAACTCTAGAGGACCCCCAGTGTGATGGACAACACACCAGGCTGATTGTTCCTGTGTGTGAAGAGCAAAAGGGGCAGAGAGCTCCTCCCGTGCAGTTACATGGCAGGCATTTTGTTTTAAGCAGAGTAAGCTCATTTTTGCTATAATAGGCCTCTGCTGCCCAGGCCAGGCTTGCTCTGTGAAACTGGCCCAACTCTGAGAAACTGGCCCATGTGTCTGAGCCTGGAATTCATCCTGCCCAGGGAGGTCCCAGCATCCTGGGCTGCAGAGTGATGACATCAGTAGCTAGGCTCTCAGACAGGCTCTACCAGCCAGCCCATGACCTGCCGGCTCTACCAGATCTTCTGACAACCCCCCCCCCCAACACACACACACCTGACTGTTTCCTCCAACTGTTCCACAGCCCCCGGTATGAGTGGGCTGCCCCTCAGGTCCCTGTGTCTTCCAAGCTTGGGATTAAGAGTAGCAGCAATCTTGTCTTCTCACAGCCTGAGGACTTAGGGGAGGCGTAGGTCTTGGGTGGAATACCAGGCTATAGCAAATCTCCTTCTGTCACCGAAGAGGAATGTTGGCCAGTTAAGAGTTGAGAATGCTCAACTCCTCTTTTCCAACCTGGACTTCTTCCTGAAAGTCTATCCAGCCCAACCAGCTTCAGGCAGCTACTTAATGTGTTTTCTAACTCCATCCTTGGGAGAAACATTGGATGTCCCCAAGACACTCTCAAGACAGAGAGGAGCCAGGCATCTTCAGGCAGGCTCTCTCTGCTCTGGGGCCCCAGCCAGGGGCTCTCTCCAACTCACTGGGGCTCAGCTCTGCCTATGGGACACCAAACAGAAGATAACGAAAACAGGACTGGTGCGCACACACACACACACACACACACACACACACACAAATAGACTTGGGAAGCAGACTTGAGAGGTTGTTTGGAGATGTATCAGGTAGGGAGGTACCTCAGGGAGTGGGGAGAAGGAGGGTTTAGGAAGTGGCAGGGAGTCCTCCACACCCACGCTGAGTTTTTCTTGTCCAGCTGCTAGTCCCAGAAACTGGCAGAGGGTCAGTACACACACCAGTGAAAACGAAATCTTAGGCAGGTATGACTCAGGTCAGCCAAAGGACTTCATCGTAGGCCTACATGTTTGTGCATCACTTGGGATACGGGAAGGGGCAGGGCCTCAAGTGGTGGATGGGTAAGCACATGAGCCCAGGCAGAGCCCAGAGAACCAGGAAAATGTCTTTGTTATAGTCTCCCTCTTGTTTCAATCTTTTTTTTTTTTTTACCCACCCAGCAAGGTTTGACTCAGCACCCTGAGCCCTGAGCCGTTCCCCATTTCTTCCTCCTGGAGGCCTGGTGCCTCAGGGCTTTCAAAGTAAAGACAAGGTATGGGGGCAGGGGGCATGATGGGAGCAGGCATGTAGCTCAATCCCTCAATCCCTCCGATACTAGGTACAACTATTGTGAAGCAAGAAAATGAGACTAGAATATCGAACCAAGTTGTAGAGGACTTTGGCTTTGCCATCTAAGAGCAGTTAAGTCTCAGGGTTCTCTGATTTCTGTAGAAATAGGCCCAATCAGCTCATTCCTGAGACTGTATGAGGATCAAATGGGTTCCAAGAGTTTTTCAACTTTAGAATGTTAGCTGGGAGCTGGTGGCTCACAACTGTAATCCTAGCTACTCAGGAGACTGAGATGTAAGAATCAAGGCTTCAAGCCAGCTTGTTCAGGAAAGTCCACAGGACACTTATCTCCAATTACCAAAAAACCAGAGGTGGAGCTGTGGCTCAAGTGGTAGAATGCCAGCCTTTAGTAAAAAAGCCCATGCCCTTGGGTCAAGTCTCAGTACTGGCACACAAAATAAACCAATAAATAATACAAATAGAATGCTGTTCACAAGGACTAACATTATTGTAGAAGGGAGGGGCAAGGGTGCCCTGATCCTTTTTTTTTTTTTTTTGGTCAGTTGTGGGGCTTGAACTCTGGGCCTGGTCTTGATGTCCTTGAGCTTTTCAGCTCATGGCTATTGCTCTACCACTTGAGTCACAGCACCACTTCCAGTTTTCTGATGTTTAATTGGAGATAAGAGTCTTATGGACTTTCCTGCCCAGGCTGGCTTTGAACCTGGATCCTCAGATCTCAGCCTCCTGAGTAGTTAGGATTACAAGCATGAGACACTGTGTCCGGCTCCACTCTTTCTTACTTGTGATAAAAGCCAGGGCAGAGAAGGCATCTTTAAAGGTAAGGAATGATGGGGAAAAACTTATATTCTCTTCTAGCTGGAGAGACAACTCCTTTTTAGCTCAGCTTAAACCAGGACTTGATCTCAATCCTTAACCCAATCTGGAACCTGAACCCAGCCCCAAATCAGAAGGCACACTCAAAAATGAGCCAGAGCACTGAATTGTATCCCTAACACTGAGGCTTTGGCTCTCCATCATAGGGAATATTGGGGTGAAATGCATTAAATGGAAGCAGAAACACCCAAGTCTCTTTCCTTTCTTTTTCCCAAAATATCTGCTAGTAGTAATGGGGAATATAGTTGAATATAGGACAACAGCTTGGCAGCCTGAGGGAGTGTCTCCATTTTTTATTCAGTCCCAATAAGTTAAAGGGCAAGAGTGGAGTCAGGACTTCTTAGGTGAGGATGCTGCTAACAGAAGGCAGCAGTTCAGCCATATGCTCCAAGATGTCACCTTCTTGGCACAGTGGGTTTCCCTGTAGATTGAGGAGACCCAGCTTGGGACAAGAAGCAAGAGGCTGGAGTGCTTCAGGCTGCTGGAGGCCTTGGGAAAGAAGAGTCAAGGAAAGTTTAGTAGGTTCTCTTGATCCATCTGCTCCAGGCAACTTGAATGCCTGGAACCACTGCCTGGAAGCCTGCTTGATGGACACGTCCTGTGCTTCCTAAAGAAAGTAACACCTGCCTACAGTGGCAGAAGCATATGAAGCAAACTGGTATGGTACCAGAAAGAGTGGTGAAGACTGTGGCAAAGTGGCATTCACTATGTAGCAAAGGTTGAGGGCTGCTGAGGGAAAACAGAAGTCCAAGGTTGTTCTAAGTTGGGCACCAGTGGCTCACACCTGTAATCCTAGCTACTTAGGAGGCTGAGATCTGTGGATCATGGTTTGAAGGCAGCCCAGGCAGAAAGAGTCCATGACATTCATGTTTATCTCCAAATAACTGGCAAAATTCTGGATGTGGAGGTGTGTCTCAAGAACACCAGCTTTGAATGAAAAAGCTAAAGGACAGTACTCAGGCTCTAAGTTCAAGCCCCAGTACTGGCATAAACACACACACACGCACACACGCACACACACACACACACACACAAATGTTGCTCTAATTTCTAATTCAGGAACCAGAGTTCAAGATTTTTTTTCTTCAAATATGAAACTTACTGATTCTCATAATACTGGATAGTTCCCAGGAATATCAGTGGGTTGTCCATTTGGTGACCTCTGGGTTGAGGAAGTCACATTGTGCACACTCCTCAGTTCAAGTTAATGACAGTGCTAGAGAGTCACAGGCTATCATCGCCCTTCAGTTCTCTCTGCCAGAGCCCCTGTCTCCAACCAACCCTGACTTGGGTGGCGCCCTGTCTGTGTTTGCAGGCTGTCCTTCTGGGCATGTACCTCACCCCAACATGGTTTGTAAGACAGATAGAAGAAAGGATACGGTTGTTGCACAGTAACAGCTCCTGTAGCCTGGGCAGGTTAGCAACGCCATCCAGAGATTCTATGGCATTATCACTGGCCTGCAGCACCTAGGGATCAAAGCAGCCAAGGCCAAACAGGCAGCTGTCAGCCTGGGGTTGACACAGCAACAGAGGAGCCCAGCGTGGTCAGCTTACACTGCATGAAAGGGTTCCTGAGTCCAGACTGAGTGATGGGGGGGAAAGCTAAGAGGTTACTTTTGGAAATTAGAAGTCTTTTTTTTTTTTTTTTTTTTGCTGTGGAGTCTGAACTCTGGGCCTGGGTGCTGTCTCTCAGCTCTTCAGCTCAAGGCTAGCACTCTACCACTTGAGCCATAGCTCTACTTCCAGCTTTTTCTGCGTATGGGTGCTGAGGAATTGAACCCAGGGCCTCATGTATGCAAAGCAAGCACTCTACCACTGAGCCACCTTCCCAGCCCCTAGAAGTCTTGACCATCTCTGTAAGGTCGGCAGACTTCTGAGGTGGAGGAAAGAAAATGTACTGCCCATGACAATGAGGGAGGAATATTTTTACCTCAAGGCATCGCAGAGCAGCCAGGGCAGGAGGCAGGGTACGGAGACGATTGTGTGATAGGTCAAGATGGGTGACTAAGAGAAGCTGTTCCAGATGGCAGAGCACTGTCAGATCCTACAGGTAGAACAGGGATGAAATACCCAGCAAGATCTGACACAGGGTCCTTAGCCACTTGACCTCTGTGTTCTACATCCCCTGGGGAGATGCCAGCTGAGAAGAGGCTGGCAGTAGGTGAAAAGTTTATCTTACAGACTACAGCAGCACATGTTACATTTAGACAGGGGGAGAAGGGGAATGGGGAGGGGGCGAATATAGCTCCTGGAAGTAGTTGGGAAGAGGCAGCCTGGAATGTGGAAAGGATGGGAGACCATGTTGGGTACTAGGGTGAACCAAGTCACTGGCAAGAGCGGGCTTGATAAGCCAGGAAGAATCCTGCTTGGAGCAGAGGTGGGTTACAGTGATATGGTAAAGTGGTTGTCAGGAATACTCATTTTGGAGGATGAGAAACAGAAAATGCAGAACCTGGAAAGTGTATCACAAATCTCCAGTGGCTCACACCTGTAACCCTATCTACTAAAGAGTCAGCCTGGATAGGAAAGCTCATGGGACTCTTATCTCCAATTAACCAGTCAAAAGCCAGAAGTGAAGCTGTGGGCCAAGTGGTAGAGTGCTGCCAGCCTCGGGTGAAAAAGCTCAGGGACAGTGGCCAGGCCCTGAGTTCAAGCTCCAGTACTGGTGTGTGCACATACACACACACAGAGTGCAATCTCTAGGAACCACTTGGGCTTCATGTTTTGGGGTCTGCTCTAGAGTGAGAGGCATACATGGCAGGGGTGGTGAGGGACAAACAGAAGGCAGAACAAACGTGATCAGTCCACCCTGGTAGAAGGGACTACACAAACCCTGCTGACTCAAGACATGAAGTTAGGGGACTTGGAAGGACAGTGGACCAGTAACAGAAAACAGGCCTGGAAGAGGAATAGGAGGGAAGGATGATAGACTTAATCAGGATCAGCCTTGGGGAAGGTACACACACACACACAGCAATCCATACCTTGTGAGCCAGGTGTAGCACGCGTACCTCAGCATACTCCATTTTGAGCACACTGTTCTCCAGCAAGAATTTGCTGCGCAGGTCATCTAGGTAGGCTGCCCGCATTGGATCCACAGCCTGTTGGGGATGGGATACACAGGTGTGTATGTCAGCTGCCATCCTCCTGCCCACATCCAGGGCATCCCCCCAGCCTGTTCCCCCAGACTCAGCTTGCCTTGAGGGTCTGGAAGTACTGCAGTGTCTCCTTCTCATAAACAAGGGGGTCCAGTGCCCGCATCAGCAAGATGATGGTGAGCAGACACCCTGAAGGGAGGAAGCAAAGGACTTGCCTGGCTCCTACCTCTGTTCCCATCCTCAGATCCTTCCTTCTCTTACCAAAGGTTGACTCTGAAAGGGGCTCCTTAGACAGGATCTATTCCTTGGAAATGGGCCTTACATTTGTTCTCAGGCTCCAGCTCCTGTAGCTCCTTACAAGATTCAAGCTCAGACTGAAGCACTGTGGACTTCTCCACTGACAGCTCACATCTGAGAGAGGGCAGAGTAGGGAAGAGATGATGCCGACAGCCTTCAGCATTCAATGTGAAGCCATCTTCCCCCGGCCCAAGCCTTTTGCCATTGCCATCTGACGCTCAGTCTAGCGCCCCTCCTCATCTGCATGCTTTCCTTCATCACCTGAACAGCTGCTCATCAGTGGCTGAGTCCCGGCACCAGCACTCCTGGCGGCCTGAAGGAAATGGCAAGGGATATCCATGAGGGGAGGAGAGGGGTCAGGGTATTCTGCAAGGGTAGAGCCACAGGGCATATTACCTTTGAAAAGTACACACTCCTTCTGGGAATCGCCTGCTGTCCAAATGACATGAAACGTATGCTGCGGCAACTGGTCATTGAGGGAAGTGGTAGGCAGGTCACAGAGCTGGGAGCGCTGGGTCAAGGAAATGTTCTGGCTTCGTCATTTTTCTGAATGTCCCACCCTTTTCTGTCCCAAGCCCTCAGTTCTGTCCCACCAACTCTAGGATACCCAGACAGGGCTGTGCCGATTCCTGCCATCTGGTGTCCTCCACTCCACAGTAAGAGGTGACTTATCAACCATAAGTAGCAAGGTCTCCGCTCTGGAGCCCACCTAGCATAGGAAACAATGAAAGACCCATAAGCTCCAACAGCACCAGACCCACCATCCCACCTTGTTCTCTAGTGAAAGCCAGTAGACTCACTAGGACAGGCCGAGAGAAGCAGACAGTCAGACAGGCCTCATCCCGGCTCACGTGGACGCAGCGCAGAGCATCCTGAGGGTCAGCTGAGGAGAGACATGGACTCAGGTCTCCTTCAATCTTCCATTTTTTCCAAACCCAAACACACAGCTTCTTCCTCCCTGCTCACCTCGACCCAGGAGCCAACGGTGATAGAACCACGCACTCTGATCATTGGGGTCAGTGAAGAAGGCATTCTGCACCAACTCCAGCTCTGTAGAGGACCAGGAAGGCAAGGAACTGGTTGGCATGCTGGAGGGCTTTCGGCCACTCCAACAAACCACTTTCTGCTTGGAATACCTCAAGCTTATGTTCTGGCCTCACATAGGGGAAGCATGTATTTTAGCCCCACCCTATCCTACACTTGAGTTCCTTGCACCAAGGGACTGAGTCTATGTATCCCAAAGCCAGGCAGGAAGTAGATGCTCAAAAAAAAAAAATGAGGGTTGGGAATGTGGCTTAGTGGTAGAGTGCTTGCCTAGGATGCATGAAACCCTGGGTTTGATTCCTCAAAAAAACAAAAAACAAAAAAAAAACAGAAGCCAGGCGCTGTGACTCATGCCTGTGATCCTAGCTACTCAGGAGGCTGAGATCTGAGGATCTCGATTCAAAGCCAGCCCAGGCAGGAAAGTCCGTGAAACTCTTATCTCCAATAAACCACCAGAAAACCAGAAGTGGTGCTGTAGCTCAAGTGGTAGAACACTAGCCTTGAGCTGAAGATAAGGGACAGCGCCCAGGCTCAGAGTTCAAGCCCCACGACCAACCAAAAAACAACAACAGAAAAAGCCAGAAGTAGTGCTATGGCACAAGTGGTAGAGTGTCAGCCTGGAGCAAAAGAAGCTCAGAGACAGGGCCCAGGCCCTGAGTTCAAGCCCCAGGACTGGCAAAAGAAAAAAACAAAACAAAACAAAAAAACCCCAACCAAATGACTGGATCAGGAACAGGGTCAGGTAGACATTAGAATTGTAAAGGTGGTGCTGAAGAATCTCCACCTCGTCCCTTGGCCCTGCTTACCTTTGAGCAGCACATCTTCAGGGAGGCGCCCTTGGGGGCCAGAGTCTGGCTGGGGGTGCAGCTGGGGCAAGAGGCAGGAGCGATAATGCCAGGAGGAATAGTTGGAGAAGTTTCGAGTAATGAGACTGTCAGTGAAGGCGAGCTCTTCTGCAGGGGCCACAGCTGCCTGTGCAGCCACAAACCGCCGATAGTCCCAGCAGTGAACTGGGGGAGGGGGACATAGGAGATAGCATGGTATCCTAAATGTATCTTCAATGGTATCCTCAAGTTCCCTCAGAGACCCCTAGAAATACATCAGCATCCAGAATATACATGACAGAGGTCATCTCTTAATTTTTGTAGTATTATAGTTTGAACTCAGCACCTTGAGCTTGCTAGGCAGGAGCCTTCTATCAACTTGAGCTCTGTCCCCAGCCTGTTGGTCATCCCTTTCAGCACCAGCATCTCAATCCTGGATTTCCCTCCCAGCTCTAGGCTTTCTGAGGCCCTAGTCTCACGATATACAACGCAAGAGGACAGGATCTTTGACACGTACAGTTCCGCTCATCCACCTCAAGGAAGCAAGCACATAGCTCCAGTTCCCGGGCCCAGTTGGGCTCAGGCAGGCGGCTTAGCAGCCAACAGCGGTGGTGCCAGGTACCATAGGATTTAGGGTTCACACGCAAGCAGCTCTCTAGGAAGCTGAGTTCGGTCTTCACCAGAGCAGCCAACTCCTCCGGGGACCTATACCCAGAGGAAAAGGTGGATCAGGGCCTTCTAACATCCAACCTCAGCTCACCCTTCACTTTCTGCACCCAGCACCCTATGACCTTATCCCTAGATCCCTGACTACTCCAGTCTTCCTCCACCCATGGACCCAGGCAGGGCAAGGGAAGAATCAAGGCAGATTTCCTGGAACCCTGAACTCCTACACACTTCTGGGTCTCCAGCCGTTGAAACACCTCTCGACGACAGTTCCAGAGAGTGGCAAAATCAGGGTTGGCTCCCAGAATCTGGCTTGTCAGTTCCAGCACTGACTCATCTAGTTCACCAGCCTGGCGCTGAGAAGAGAGGTGGCAGGGTTAGACGTAGCATTCTCACAGGCCTAAATAACTCAGAACCACTCAATAGTCTGTGCAGGCCAAAACATAACAAACACTATGCAAAGTGCTTTACACACGAGTATTCTCTCATTTATACTCTTACATAGTATGTACAACTACTAGCCCCATTTCACAGACACGCAAACTGGGGCTCAAATTCAACAACATGCACAAAGTTACTCAGCTAGTAAATGACAGAACGCGAATTTGGATCTAGCCAGTTTGACTCTAGGGCCCAGCTCCTGGGCTCGGTGCTATTCGAAGGGGGCCAGGTGGAGGAGGTAAGGGGCTACTTCTGAGGGCCCCACCTTCTGGAAGACAGCTTGGGTGGCTGACTGGTAGAGCTTCAGCTTCTGCTCCCTCTCTAGCCTTTTGGCCTCTGCCTGCTCTTGTGATGTCTTCACCTTCAGGCGCCCGTGCTACAAGGATGGGCAGGTTGAAAGAACGCAGGTTGCCTTGCAAAAGGGCAGACCCACAGAATCCCCCGCTGGAGCGTTCCAGGTTCCTCAGGAGGAGTGGAGGCACCGCCGGGCGGGGCGAGGGTGTGGGCACGCAGAAGTGAAGGGAGGGGCTGCACCCAGGGTTCTCACCATGGTGTCGGGTCAGCGTTCGGGGTTAGAGGAGGGGTCCCGTGGTAGCCCGTGGGAGTCTGGGGAGAGAAGCTGTCAATCACGGGGCCCCGGCCCGCTGGCCCCTCCCCCAGGGGTTCCCCGGAAGTAGCGCGCGCGTTCCCGGCGGAGACCCTTAGGGCGTAAAGGGGTCCTAGGACTGGCATTGTGCCTCCAGGAGGAGGCGCTCCTTAGGACTGGGACCTCCACCGGTGCAAGCCTTCCTCTAGCCCGATGCACCTGGGCTGCAGCCCGAGCCCAGGTGCCCGGGTGAGAGGGACGACTCCACGCCCAGGAGCCTGCCTGCCATTACCCGCCCGCTCGCCCGTCGGACGGCTCCCAGGCACCCCCGCCCCCACCGGGAGGACCCACCTGCACTGGGAGGAGGCGCGGGGGACGCGGAGCCGCGGCGCACACCAGCGAGTCGGCCGCAGGCCAGAGAGGCGCCACGCCCTGGCTCGCTCAGGTGCAGCGCCCTCTGCAGGTCCGGAGAGGGCCCCCCCCCAAGGCGGAGTAAGCTGGGCCTGGAGGAGCTTCTGGTTAGAAAAGGCCAAGGTTCACGCTTGGAAAGAGCAACTCACACTGCAGTCTTAGTTTCTCCAGCAGCCGTGTTAGATCCAGACGGCCAGATATCCCTATCTTGAGGCCCCAGAGCAGTGCCTTGATTCATTAACACTCCAGCCTCGCCCTCTTTCCCAGACCAAAATGCCCACCGGTGGCCTTATTTCCCATCTTTTGTCCCACCATTACTTACTTTCAAACCACCTCCACTAGACAATTCTAGCATTCTTTCAGACCCTCTATAAATATAGCGATTGTAAGCAAAGAGTGAGTCTCTAGCCTTGGCTGAAGGTTTCCCCTAGTAGATTTCCCCCTAGTAAGCCTATGCTGCTGTTGAGTTGCTTCTTTGTCTACCCTTTCCTTCATCTTCTTTTGTTTTTCTCTTTTTGAACCTAACAAACTGAAAACCCACATCCTCAGTACTTTGACCTCATTCTGGTCACACTTGCCCTGCAGCAGTCATATCTGATGCCCATTTCCCATCTTTATCTTCCCTGATCTTTAGATCTTTGATGTCACATAACCAACCTTTTTCTACTTCACACCACTGGTCTGGCTGCTCCTGCACCATTACCCCTCTTTTTAAATCTATTCCCCTTTCTGAAATGTTGGTGATCTCTAGGTCCTCTGGCTCACTCCTCTCACTAAACACTCTATACAGGAACTTTATACACCATCTGGAATGTACATGGAAGTCATGTTCACCTTGAGTCAAAGTTGGAGGCGTTGGAGAGCTCTGTCTTTGGTCTAACATGTCCTCTGACCCTACACTTTCTCTTGATGATTTCATCTACACTCATAGTTTTAATTACTACTTGTATGTGAATGACACCCAAATTTATATCTCCGGCATGGATGTCTCAACAAGCTTTAATGATAATAAATATCTTTATATATGCATACATTAAAGATATTAAAAAACCTGTTGGAAAGTCAAGCATGGTAGTGCATACCTGTAATCCCAGCTATTCAAGAGGATGAGGCAGGATGATTGTGAGTTCCAGAACAGCCTGGGATACATAGCAAGACCCTGTCTCAAAAGAAAAGGAAGCCTTTGAATAGTACCTGGATGTCCCAGAGATATCTTAAATTCCAACTGGTATTTTTGTCTCCCATCTGTCCCATGTAAACAATTGGCCTTTATGTTTTTTACTGTGAATGACACTGTTTCTCTTCTTTTGTCCTCTTTCTCAGTTTTCAAGGCCTAGACTGCCTTTTACCTTGAGATTCTCCTATCAGTACTTTCTGAGGAGCTTGGATTTTTCCTCATTTCTTAATCTCTCTGTGTGTGTCTTTCTGTCTCTATCTCTCTGTCTGTCTCTGTCGCTCTCTTTGTCTCTCTGTTGTTGTTCCCTAAACCAATAAGACTATCTCAAAGTTCTCCATCTCTGTCCTGTACCTCTGCATCAGCTCATTTATCTGGGCTACTGGATCAGTCTTTCAAATGGAGATTCAAAGTCCTATGTGTGCCTAAAAGCCCTCAATAGTTCTTAATAACTTTTCAGGATAGAATTTGATTCTTACAGTTTACGTATAGAACCTAGCTATGGAACTCCTAGCAGCCTCTCAAACATGTTAACCTGTTTTATGTCACACACAGCACTAAGCCATATCTCTAGTCTCTACTCTCACCCCCCCCCACACACACACTTTGGTGGTAATTTTTTGTTTGTTTCTTTTTGTTTGTTTTGTTGATCATGGAACTTAAACTCAGGGCCTGGGCACTGTCCCTGAGATTTTTTGCTGAAGGCCAGCACTTTACTGCTTTGAGCCATAGCTCTACTTCTGGTTTTCTAGTGGTTCATTGCAGATAAGTCTCATGGATTTTCTTGTCTGGGCTGGTTTTAAAAACGTGATCCTCATATTTCAGCCTCCTGAGTAGCTAGTATTACAGGCGTGAGCTACCAGTGCCTGCCTGCTAGTTATCCCCCCCACTACCCCCACCATCAGTTGTGGGGCTTGAACTCTGTGCTTGGGCGCTATCCCTCAGCTCTTCAGCTCAAGGCAAGCACTCTACCACTTAAGCCACAGCGCCACTTCCAGTTTTCTGGTGGTTTATTGTAGATAAGAGTCTCACGGACTTTCCTGCATGGGCTGGCTTTGAACTGCAATCCTCAGAACTCAGCCTCCAGAGTAGCTAGGATTACAGGCATAAGCCACCGGCACCCAACAATTTTTCATCTTTATGACAAATGTGCAAAGAAACAAAAATTCAAAAATATTGAATAACTTTCTGAGAATCATCCACAAGGTAACTAGCCACATAGCCTTGTCCTCCTCCTCCTCTTCTTCCTCTTCCTGCTGGTTCTAGCCAATCCTTCCACAATGCCACCTTTTTGGCTACCACCTACTTTTGCTTCCTTCTCCATGTATACTGAGAACTACACCCAGATACCAAGAGCACAGATGTCCACAGATGCAGGTTTGCCAGGAAGAGTGTTACATCATAGTCACTAAAGGAGGAGGAAAGGGGGGGGGGTAGATAACGATTGAGGTAATCATGAAATACTGTTTAGTGATTAGCAATCTTGAAACTGGAAAGGATGAGTCAGGCAGGTTTAAGAGAGGAAGTGAGTCTCGTGAAAAAAATGTGCATTCAGAAGGTTGATCCTGGGCTTTAGAGAGAGGGGGCAGGAAGGATATTTCAGGTGTGTAGTATGACATGAGGGTGGGGGCGAGAAAGCCAAACAGACTTATCTGTCTGGAAGAGAAAAGTTGAGCCAGGTGCCTTTGGAGATAAGAACAATGGAATTAATTACAAGCCTCCTGCTTGAAGGTAAAGAAGCTGTCAGGAGTTATATTTGGCCTTCTCCATAAGATAAGTTAGAGGGGCTGGGAAGGTGGCTCAGTGGTAGAGCGATTGCCTTGCATGCCTGAGGCCCTGGGTTCGATTCCTCAGCACCACATAAGCAAAAAGAAAAATGACCGGACCCCCCCCCAAAAAAAAGATAGAACCAGATAGATTCCTGAGGGCGATGAGCTGAAAGATGTTCAAGGAAGTTTTTCTCTGCTCACTGTTGAGAAAGAACAAGCAACAACTGAATATTAATCATTGAGTAAATGAACTGAGTCCCAGACAGCTTTCACAATGCCCTGTCAAGGTAAATAGGTATCAACAAAGAAGCAGTGCATCCAGAGGGCTGACAAAGGTTAAGCAATTTGCTCAAAGTCATGCAGCTGGGGTAAAAGATCAACAGAAATCAAACCATAGTCTAGATGTCTGCTGCATATGTGGGAGTAGCCACTGCCAGAGATGCAATCCATAGCCTCCTGAGATCTAGCGGTCCAGGTTTTTCCACAGTGATGCCTCTTCCTCTGCAAATCCTGTCTGTACGCTGATCCTAGTGTGTGCACACCTGAACACACACACACACACACACACACACACACACACACACACACACACACACAGCCTCTAGGATACCAAACACAGACCAGAGATGGTTTGAAAGAATGAAAGAGTTTTTGGTTAAGGCTACTGTGTAAACTAGCCTACAACAATGTTCTTTCCTTTTCCTCCTCCTCCTCTTCTTCCTCTTCCTGCTCCTCCTCCCCCCTCCTCCTTTTCCTCCTTTTCCACTCCTTCTCATCCTCCTTCTTGCCAGTAGTGGGGCTTGAACTCAGAGCCTGGGCCTGGGCACTGTCCTTTAGATTTTTTTCTCAAGGCTGGTACTCTACCACTTGAACCACACCTCCACTTCTGGCATTTTGATGGTTGATTGGAGATAAAAGTCTTATGTACTTTTTCTTCCCAGGCTAACTTTGCACTATGATCCTCAGATGCTCAGCCTTGTTCTTAAGACAGGAAGCAAAACTAGGAGATAGGCACTGAAGCTATCTCTGGATATTGTGTGATGTGTGGCAGTGTGGAAGCATTCCATTTTTGATCCTTAGCATCAGAGATAGGCATCACAGAGTGCTGGTTGCCTAAGATCAATCTAGTACTGGACCTCCCCCGCAAAAAGCACCTTTGTTACCTGCTGTCACTCACAACTGTAAATCCAAGCTATTCAGGAGGCTAAGATCTGGAGGACTGTGATTTAGAGCCACAATGAGCAGAAAAGTTTGCTAGACTCTACCTCTGAAATAACCAGTAAACACAAAGGCTAGAGGCATGTAGTAGAGGCTGGTAGTGTATACACCTAGCAAGCACAAGATCCTGAGTTCAAACTCTAGTATAAATAAATGAAATAAAATAAAATCTCCACTTTTCCTGGAGTTTATATTCACTGTCCTATGTACATTTTTCAATAATGGAGAATAAATGGTTACTGAGCACTTGAAATGTGATTAATACAATTAAGGCTATATGGGCCTCTTAACAAGATAGGATAGGACAGATGTCCAGGGTGAAACTGAAGCTGGAGAAAGACAAGGGCTCATGGGATCCATAGAAGGAGCTCCTCACTTGGACTCAGATTGACTTACAAGACACTTGTTCTAGATCTGGTGTTATGTACTTTTCCCCTCCTTAAGCTTCAGATGCTTCTTTTATTCCTGTAAAACTTGTCAATAAGGAATAATATATAAGCCAGGCACTGGTGGGTCATGCCTATTATCCTAAGGAGGCTAAGATCTGAAGATCACAGTTTGAAGTCAGCTTAGATGGAAAAGTGCATGAAACTCTTATCCAGTTAACCACCAAAAAGCTGGAAGTAGAGCTGTGATTCAAGTGGTGGAGTGTTAACAGCAGGGACAGGGAGTCCAGTGTCTGCGTTCAAGCCCCAGGACCACCATAGAAAGGAAAGAAGGAAGGAAGGAAGACAGGCAGGCAGG